TATATAATATATATAAATATATATATATATATGTAATAACACTTGTGTTACGCAGGTTACATTGTTCAGTTTTTGGCTGATGTTTACTGGGGACTTTTCCGATATTCTTTTCGCAGCAGTTATTTTAACAGTACAGCTATTAGCAGCTATTAACGTAATTTTTTTATTTGTAAATCGGGTCGCGTGAGATGCAAAATTGTCTGCAAAATAAATTATTATCCTCATCGACGCACAACCCGATTGAAGCGCATCTTAGCATGTAGACACGTTCGCTGTGATAACGGTATGATCCTTTTATCGTGCGAACAAAAGTACAAAAATTGTACCAGACATGCCTTATCGTAATAATAATAAGTGATGCACTACGAAAGTACTCATTATTTTTGACATTGACAAACGAATAGAAACGCATCGCAAACGTATAGAAAAATGTACGAGAAGCTCTGAGAAAAATACGGGCAGGCGAATCTTTTAATATAACGCGAAAATGCAGGCAACTTTGCATCCGTTTGCGCAGTCATATTTTGATGATCGTTCCAATTGCATTTAATAATCCGCTATGAGCGCCATGCGTATTTTTATCGTCATTTTAGGTTCTTAAAAATAGGTTCCTAATACGCGAATCATGTTAAATGTGTGTATGCATGTTTTGCTGTAGCATTTTACGATGTTTTTGAAAATGCTTTGTGATCTCCGAGCGAAAGAAAGAAGTAGGCCTATAGTAATAAAGTCGCTATTTTACTGCAGATTGAAAAAAAAGAAATTTTCGATTTTGATCCTCCCTGAACAGGAGGTTCATCCGACTTTAACTTTTGTAAGAAAAAAAAAGCATTTATCGCTACCGGAAACCATTCGACAGAAATCTGGTCTCTCAGGAAGAAATGTAAAATTTTTATGCCGATAAAAGTTTCAAAAGGCGAGGGAATGCAAAAAAAAACAGAAAGGGAAAAATGAATTGTAAAAATAACGCCTAGAATTTTGCGTATATTGTATTATAACACCTTTCAGTTTGTTTTGAAACGTTACAATATAAGAAAACATTTTATAACAAACATGTTCTTTTCTTCATACAAAATATCCTGCTCTGCCTAACAGTATTACGAGTAAGAGGAACGAGAAATGATGACTATTATATTTTATTTTTCATTTAATATATTAAATTAGAATAGATAGACTATTTACATATGGCGTTCATTGAAAAAATAACATCTCTCAATTAGACGTTTCTATCATCTGTCTGATATCACGCTTTCTCATATGATATACATGCATCCTGCGTGGGTGTTATACTTTTTTACACTTTGATACGGATATGTACATGTACGTTTGTAATATCGAAAGTAGACAGTACACAATGAAATTCAAGAGAACTGATAGTATGAAATTGACTTCTTGTCGCAAGTGAAATGTCGGTCGGAAACGCATTATAGTTACATCAACAGTATATTTCTTAACTTGCAAAGAAGCTTTAATGTAGAAAGGAGTATTTTTGCGAATAGATTACGAAAATCGTATATAATTAAACGTTACAATTAATGTAATAAATAACGTAGAAACATTTGTTAATAGCACACCGTCAGCAGATAAAACGTTAAATATTCTCTATAATAGTAAACTCACTTTACAGACAGCTTATTTGGTATCTCGACGATAATTATTATTACTTAATTTCTTTTTACAACGCCTAAATAAAACAGAGGTACTTTAATATTTATAATACGAGATACTGTCGTTATATAAATATTAAAAAGTAAAATATAGAGTGTAATAAGCGCGCATGCTGATTTTACGTAGACTTCTCCTCTCCCGCCGAGTGGAAGCTTATGGAGGCGGAGTTGATGCAGAAGCGCTTCCTCGTAGGCTTCGGCCCGTCGTTGAACACGTGCCCCAGGTGCGCATCACATTTCGAACAGGTCACCTCGGTCCGCACCATATCTGGGTTTGCGATCAGCAGTAGTAGATTGCCGCCGACTAGTTGGGGCGTTGTTTATTCGACGCGACGCGCGATTTTCAGCGGTGTTGTTTTTTTTCAGTGATGAGAGTGAAGTGGTTCAGTGGTGGTAGTAGCCAGGAGATTGATCAGGGAGGACGAGAGGAGAAAGAACAATAGAGTGTGATTAGACGCAGACAGACACCCTTTTCTCACGGATACAATTTTCAAGAAGTAACAGAAGCGATCTAAAAGATCTTGAAATAAGGAGAAAATCGAACTAAAGATTGATCGACCAATTATAATGAGACAGCTAACATTCATATGATACTAACAGAATAATGATGAAGAAATGCATACATATACGGCAACGGTTTCATTCAATATATACATTTTTATTTTTTATTATATATCTAATTGTTACCTGCTAATTGTTACTTGTTATATGTTTCCAATTCAATAGCACGCTTACTTGACAATATTGAAAATTATGCAATCACATACTCTAGATTCTAGAGTGAAGACTGGCATACATCTCTGGAGACGTATTATATCTTAAAATATATTAATTATTCTTTTAACATTAATGAGATTTTTAATATTGGTTGGTCAGTTTGGTTGGTTTGTTTTTAACTAAAACAATATGTTTTAGTTAAAAAGTAATATAACTGAGCAGCCAATATTAAAAATCTTGTTATTATTAAAAAAATAATTAATATGTTTTAAGTTATAACTTGTTTAGATAGGGTGCTTTCCAGCAACGGAATACAGTCATACATATGGTGTGTGAAACAGTAATACTAAAAGTGCTGTAACTGAAACGTTGCTTAGCTTTTTTATTTCATCGCCAAAGTGAAATCAAGGAAAATTATATACACTTCTGTCCAAATATATCTGAATGTAATTTTGAAACCTTTTATCAGAGTTTCACTATCAGACAAATAAATGGTAATAATATATAAAAATTTGGTATTCATATAGTGATTTAAAATGACGATACAGTCAGACACAACATTTTAACTGTATACAATTGTGTAGACTTGTGCCATTAGAAAGTACGGAATCGTACGATATATTATACAGTATTGTCTGTATACGCTGGTGAAAAGCACTCGCAGTCTCCTTTATTTGTATTTGTAACTAATATATTTTTTAAATTTACCGCATATTCATCTTTATTAAGTATTTACTTACGTCATAGAAATATTGTAAGTTCATATTTGTAGAGCTCTGTGAGTATTGAAACACACTTGCAAATGATTAAATATTATTTCAACTGGCGTAATTTAAAAGCAAAGGAACTTATTTGCACTGAATGTTTATAAAAAAGATATTTATATGCATTAGGATTTGCGAGTAAAAAGAAGACATTATTATATATACTCTTAGCCAAACTAAACAAATGAATGTTATGTTTAACAAACAGTTATCGATAACTTTATGCTCATAAATAGCACTTAACACGATAAGATATTTGTAACTATCCTATTGGTCATATTTCTAATGTTTTATAATGTACAGCTAGCATATTAGTTTGATAGAAAAAGTGATGTAAGTCTAACACAATCACACTCTAAGCAAGTACATGCAGGAACCAAGGAAAATAGGAAATTTTATCTAATATACACAACATTTCATATTTACAATAGAGAAAAATACATCATATATAAATGAATACTAATATAGTTCCTGTTTTTGTAAGAGAAATACTTTTAAACTGATATCTATGTACACAAGAAAAAAATGAGGCGCGAAGAGTGAGTGACAATATAATTATAATTTTTGCTACGAATTAATATGCGATAATTTTATGGAAAATTGAATGTTATGAGAAACTCAATATAAAGACTTCTACTTTGGATAGGTGCAGAATGTGAAGAATGAAATGTGACCAGGATAGGCTCAGTAATGTTATGCAAGTGTACAATTATGATACAAAAAAACAAAATAATATGAAACCTACGAAATACTCTAATTATTTCATTAATAAAAGTGTGGCTTATATAATTTGTTTTTAATATATATTCTATTCTTGTTAGAATGGAGAAAGAAGGAAATTTTTTTCTTACTCTATTTTTGCAAAATTGCTCTGTTTTCGACGTCAACATCTTTTCCTATCAATATATTGTAAATGATTCAAATATCATTCAGAGTTCTGAAGAGCAGAGTGAGAAACAGATTTTTTTCCCATATTTTTTAAGCAATTAAAATGTTTTACTGGCCAAAAGAATGATAGAATATTACACTGTAACAGTTGTTATACTACTTAAGCATGTATGATTCTATTCTAACAATATAGAATTTGTATTAAAGACAAATGGCGAGTTCTAACTTTTTATTAATAAAACAAGTGAATAATATATTTCTCAGGCGTTTATATTAATTTGTTTATATTTCTATATATGTTGCAAATTATTATAATATTATAAATAGTGAGCAGGTACGATGTTGGAATCGGAGATTTATTTACGAAATATAGATATTCACAAGTCCTAATTCTAAATAATCTAAATAATTTGAATGTACCTGCGGACTATTGTGCAACGTTTAGATGAACGTGAGGTATGAATTGCCATTCTAAGAACGCGAGCATATAGTTACAAGAGATACACTAACGAAGGTAAATGTAACGACGCTCGCTTACCATGAGAGGTGTCTTTGGTCAATTTGATGCGTCCTTGATCCAGAACCTCGTTGAATGCGGGCCAACCGCATCCGCTGTCGTATTTGGTGTCCGAGGAGAACAATTCCTGATCGCACACGATGCAGGTGTACGTTCCCTTGTCGTAGAACTTGTTGTAGCAACCGGTAAATGGCCTGTATCAAATAAAACGAATGAGTCAGGGGATGATGAAACGACAATATTAAGGGTGGAAAGGGGAAAGAGGGAGGTCACAAAAACCGTGAAACATATAACTTATTTTTAAACTTGCTGACCATGAGACCATTCACGCACAAATATACAAAGGGACGCTCTTGAAAAAGTTATTTCGGTGTTTCTCGTCCAAGATCAACTTGAACGTTTGAACAAGCACGCGGGAATTTGCATCTTTTTTATTTTTAATTCACGACAGTTGCAGTGAGTTATGTCACGTTGCTATCTTATTTGCGACATGCAATGTGAGAAATTCCAGTAAACATCAACGTTGTAATTTTTCAATATAAATGCAATTATATATAAGAAAAATTCTATATTCGGTTAAAGTAATCATAGTGCTTAGATAACATATATAAATATAATATATATTATTTAATCTTTAAAATTTTTCTTACTTTAAAGATTAAAAATTGAGCCATTCTTTTTCAAAACTAGCTTAATTTTCATTCTTTAAAATAAAATTCCACACCAAAGAATTTGCAGAGTATGAAAGTTACATTATTGAGAAATTATAACATTGATGAAATATCCTACACAGCATATTTATGTGAATAATATTTTAAAATATTTCAATAAAATATTTCGAAAATATTTTATAAATGCTTGTAAAACATTTTAAAAAATTGTATTAAATTATTTGATAAAAATATTTTAAAGATATTGTAAGAAAAGAAGATTTCAAAAATACTCTTCTCTGGTTTCCTGGATATTTATACTTTAGAAGTATTTTATAAAAAATTCCTGAAATATTTCGAAACTTGCAATAAAATAATTTTGAAAAAATTCCTAAATATTTCATGTTGTGCAGGAATAATTACTATAGGAATAATAATAACTGTTAATATATTAACTATTACGATATTAATTTTAACATGCACAAAATCATATCAGACGAATGTACGATGTGTATAATGGTATTATTTTTACATATTTCTATAAACTCGACTTGCGTAGAGAATTTAAGCGGGGCGTTTCTAAATAATGCCAAGCGGCGAGAATCTGCCCGGCAGATTGCGTAAATATGGATCAGACGACAAATAACATCCGTCTGTGTCATCAATATAATTATACGTTGCGCAACACCACGTTGCGCTTTGATCGCCCATTACAGAATCAGCTGACGTCTCCTCGCGGAGTGCGATAACAGGAAGTAGGTCGCGACAAAGCTGTGTTAACGGAAGAGTAAGATTTCCGCTTCGAGCAGGCTGGTGTGTGGGAAATTTTCTTGAGGAGTCTCGTCAAAAGAAATTCCGTTCCCAGATCGGTTTTCTGTAATATAAGACTCCAAGCAGAACAAAAAAGTCACGACACCAAAATGACTCCAAAATAATTACTAAAAGTTACATTTAAGTTACTTTTAATGCCATTTTAACATTATCGTGACCTGTTGTCCTGTTTGGGATGTAACAAAAGGTAAACTTAGCCGAGACCCTCGCTCGGATTGTTGTCCTGGCCACTAAGACTGTTCGACATCTACACGTCGTCGTCGTCGCCGAGTGCAAATCCGTGGGGAGCGTTTTCGAGGACGCCGGTATCAGTAGCATATGACTCCCAAGTTTCGCACATGTGGCCCTCACCTCTCCGTGCCCTTCTCTTGCGTCACATGCCACTGCAGCGACGTCAGGCGCTTCCGCGCTTCCTCCTTGTCAACCGCCGTCGTCATCCTCCTGATCGCACCGAGTACGTGTCGCAGAATCTTGATAACCGGGATCGGGATCGACTGGGATTCACGTAGAATTACGTGCAACAATTCTACGCTTTCCGGTCGAACGTTCTGAACCTTGCTAAATCTTCGCGAGTACAGGACGCACCACGCACGCTTCTCGGCCAACTTCGCCGCACTGAACCGGAGTGAACCGCGCTCCGATGCTCCGAGCTCCGAGTCGCAAAACAACGCTAACGCTTCGCCGCGCGGTCGTCGGGTCGACCTCAATTGGCGCTCCAGTCACGTTCCACGGACCGACATAAGCTGTGTTCCAAAATTTACTGGTAGCGCAAAAAATCTATCGTTTTTACCGCCAACGCGATGTTACAAATACTTTAAAGCGTTTTTTGATTGGTCGATTTATGACATTTTTTTTTTCTAATTGATCAATCAAAAGCTTTAATGCTTTAAAGCATTTGTAACAGACTTTGACCGTAGCCTACATTACGTGCACTATAAATTTTCAACCGTCGACTGGCAATAAAATTTGGAGCACAGCCACATAGATTGCATTATATGTAGAGAACTTGCATAAGATATTTTACTTATAACAAAAAGTAGTAAAAGGCATTACCTGGAAAAATTAATTACTTGTTTAATTTAATTAAAATTTAATTGAAGTTCTGTGAATAATATAATGACGCAGCGTTATACTTTTATTAATTACATGAATTGGTATAAAATAAAGTTACTAATTGAATAAATTGGTAATTTGAAAAATTTATCAATTAAATAATTAGTAAATTTTAGCAATTAACATAATAGCATTTAGTTTATCACTCTTGAGTTTGATTTTAAAATTTCAGCAATAAAACAATGTTTATCATATCTTAAGATTGGTTAACATAAATATAAAATTTATTTACACAACAATGTGCAATAACAAAAGCGATTTCAGTTAAACTATTTGAATTAGGTAATTACAATAGTTTAACCGACAGAATCGTATATAAAAATTTGAATTGTATATTTGTCCCTCTGATTTTCCGTAACAACAAAAAATTAATTTCATTTATGCTCAATATTATATTTTTGCAGGCAGGTTGCTGTAATAACGTGAACTTAGTCACCGATTATCGGTCACGCGGCGATTTTTCCTACTTATCCATCGGATTTTAAATTTTACTATATATATAAGTAAACATGCAAAATAAAAAAAATTGATTGTTTGTACATTTAATCGTTTAGATATTTCATATTAAACATATAATAAAAAACGCGAGTGAAATGAACTAATTTTACTATTAGTTATTGTTAATTAGGGTTGCTACGACTGCATTCGATGCCTCGCCATATATAATTGCTTTTCAAACTAAATTTATCGCAGACAATCGGCTATTTATTTAATGCACAGAACTGAAAAAAAAAATGCTCTTTGCCTTATTTCATATAAACAAGAAGTATAAACAACAAAATGCCTTCCATTGGTTTACGATATTCGATTATGATTCGTTTGATTGTCTAATATTATTGTTATTGAAGGACAAACTAAAAACCGGGTCAAAGTTGTGCAATCAATGAGAAATGATGCAAAAGAAACAATACCGGACACGTAAACGTGCGATGGAAATGTAGCTACCTGTTTGGAAAAAGTTGCAACAATTAATACTGAATTGAGAGAGAAAAAGAGAGAGAGAGAGAGAGAGGAGAGGAGGAGGGAAAAGGAGGGAAGGGGGAAGAAAGAGAGATTGTGATATTTGGCAGGAACGTTCCATTCTATTTTTTGTATATTAAATATTATTGAGATATTAAAATAATACATATTATTATAAAAACCATCATTTTATAATAAAATTCATCATTTAAATAAAAATCATTTTAATAAAAAGAATTTTAATCAAATCATAATTATTTTTGTTCCTATAATTTTGAAATTAATAAATTGACTAAAATTGACATCAATGTTTAAAAAAATAATTAAGCACAAAAGTTATTACAAAATGATGTCGAAATTATTCGAAATAATTATTAAATAATAATCTTAATTATTAAATTATTTTTCAATCAGTAACAAAATATTTTATAATTCATTTTAATATTATTGACGTACTCGTGATTTATTGTTCTGTTTGAACGTATTTATCTTTTCAGATATCTATATTCGTATATCTCAAGGAAAATCATTTGTTTGATTTCTTACAAATCTATTGTGATAAAATTTAAATGTGAATTCCTTGAAAGAAGCGTGAATTGAAACAGCTGGAAACATTTTCCGTGAACTAACGCCCTCTCTATTGTTCTTCAAAATTAGTGATAGAAATGTATGTATTTACGTTTTACATGAATGGGTGAATTTCATATAATACATTATGCGTACAAAAAAAAGTTTTGAAGATTTTCATATTGTTAATTCATTATCAAATTGTCTCATGTTTAGAAAAGAATTATTGTAAACAATAAAAAAAATGTAAACTTTGAAATACTTTCCCTAATTCGATCATGAACTTTTAGAGAATTGCAATTCGCACGTTGGTAACTATGCAAAATGGACGAGCGCTAACTTCACACCGTATTTTCAATCGATGGTCGGCGTCGGAGTAGCTTCGGAAACCGCGTTGTCATTATTGCTTATAATTCATGAAAAAATTTCATTCTGAGTATAAAATGTTCCTCCAGTAACGAAACAAAAATTCAACGACCGAAAACGACCCACTATTGATTCGAACGACCCAGCGTCTCTTTCGTTTCGATTTGATCTTCGAATTTTCAGTTGCTGGCTCGTAGCAGTGACGTCATAGCGGCCGCCGAGCGTCAGCGGGGAGCGCTCGTGATTGGTCGGCCGGGCCGGCACGGCGTGGCGCGCGCCGCCCGCGGTCGGCTGGCACGGTCGGCACTGAGCGCGGTCGCCATCTTGGCAGACAGAAGGAGCCTGCTGTCGCCGTCAGCCGCCGACGTAACGCCGTCCAGCTGAGCCGTTAAAGCTGAGCGTGAGCTGTCTGGCTCCGCTGCTGGTGGAACGCGGAGAAAAATCGCGGCGGGCTATCGTTCGCTCCGACGCGAACGCAGAAACCGGCCCGAGGAAGTGGTGGCGGCGGACGAGGAGAGGCGGAGGAGGTAGAGGAGTAGGAGCAGCAGGAGGAGGACAAGAGAGAACGAAGAGAGGTGCCGGAGGACCGGAAAAGCAGCGCGCGACGGGCCGAGTATAATATCGGGGTGAGCGGGACGTCGTGGACGCCTCGGCGCGGTAAGCGCCTGGTTCTGTCGTGTCGTATTGTGGCGTGTCGTGGCCGTGATCGTGATCGTGTCGTGGTGTCGTGCGCGGTCAAGTCAGCCCGGAGAGTGTTCCCGAACCCCCGTAGTCTCGCTCCCGCTCGTCCGTCCGCGTCGCGTCAAGGACGGCCAACTTCACTCGTTTCTCGAGGATTATCCCTGTCCCATCGTCCTTGTCCCCGTTTACGTCCTTCAAGCCATCGTAGTCGCGCTATCCTTTCGTAGTTCGTTCCACCGGTGCAACAAGAGTGAAAAGACTAGCCAGGGCGAAGAATTGTCAATCGAGGGAGGATACGCGATCTTCGCCGCAAACGTCAACTGCTGCTGACTTCTGCTACCACTGCTGGGACAGTATGGCGGGACAGACGATCAACGACAGGCTGTTGGCCGCGAGGCACAGTATTGCCGGCCAGGGCCTCGCCAAGTCCGTTTGCAAGGCCACCACGGAGGAGATGATCGGTCCCAAGAAGAAGCATCTCGACTGTAAGTAGAGAGTGAAAGTTTGCCCCCACCGATATCACTGCGAATCCAAGTGTGTAAAAAGTCATTCTGTATACGTGTGTTATTTATTTCCTAAAACTTTTAAAGCAAATTTCACTTCGAAAAGTGAAATCTTATTCTTCAAGATTGAATATTGAGCCACTCTTTTTCAAGACTGGCTTCAATTTTCACTCTTTAGAGCAAGATTCCATTTCAAAGAATTTAGAGAGATAGTTTACCGTATAAAAGTGGCACGATAATATACGTTGAAATGTAAAAATCCATATTTCTATGCAGCATAGTGTTATTTTTACACACTCGGTTTTGCGTGACTCGATGTGTCGCCGAGTGCCGTCCTTTCACCAGCATTTAGAGCATTTTTCGAATTTTAATTAACAATAGGACCCCGCTTGATGCTGTTTTTTTCTCCGTATCTCCAATTTTTCAGTTTAGGAGAAAACACTGATAAAAAATGGAATTTGTCGTCTGATTATTGGAATTCTTGATAGGAAAAAGGACGTCTCGACGTCACAGGGTGTCGCCTGCTCTGATTCAATGGGATTTTGTGGCCGTTTCTCTGCTGTTGATTCACAGTGTAGCGAGACGGCGAGTCGCTCACCTTTTCCCTATTTGCCTGCTTTCGCGAAAGAAGGTGAGGAGCGAGCGACTTGCCCTCCCCACTGGTCTGTCTCGCGCGAATCCTCGGCGTTAAGCAATTTCTCGGACGGGCATGGTTGAGCGAGATCGACTGCAGAACGTCGGGTTTAATTCTCCTTTCCACATTGACATGTACATTGACGAGGCAATTAAAGCAATCGAAGTCGATTGAACCGCCTCCTGAATGCGTGCTTGCACTTGTAAGATTTTCACAGGATTTCCACTTCACGCTTCACACTGTAATCTTGTATTCTACGAAATGTGTCTCTGTTCAGCAACGTATGTTTAGGAATGCCATCTGGGTGGACAATGGAGCTCCTGAAGAGTATAATAATACTAATTGTAATGTCCCCTGGAGTAGGATGATCAGATCTGAATCATAAGAAAACAGTATATATGCACACTTCTTAAAAAAAATTTGAAAACGAAAGAGGAGATAATTTTGTGTACCTCAAATGTACAAATATTTATTATAATAAGCTAACATTTTTAGAACATAATTTTGATTGATAATTTTTACTAATATAATTTTATAAATATATAAACTTTTAATTGACCCACAGAAGTTCTACAATCTCAACAAAAGTACATGTAGTCTCAAAATAGTACAACTGGTAACCTTATCCGGGAGGAAAATGAGTTCAGAAAGAACTTCTTTTCATTTATATTTTGTTCGCTGCCTTTGAAAGATACAAACATTCAGACTTTTGATAAAAAGGGAAAAAGGGCATCACGTAGGAAGATTAGAGAAAGAAACGTGGAAAAGGGATAGACTTCTCGTACCACGCATGTTCGATTCATGGAGACTTCGCTCCGACCCGCGCGATTATTAACATGCTATTTTCGATACTGAGAAGGAAAATTCAGAACATAAATTGCGCGTCAAGCATACGCAAAAATGTTAATTAGAATTATATATGTATATATATATATATA